CAGACAACCTCTCGTCAATATGCGTTTTTCGCATTGCATTGCTGCAAAAAACGCATAAAAACAATTCAGTTTAATGATTTTATTTTGACAGTTTGATCAAGTGCAATTCGTAGCGTCGTTCTTCAGCTACGCAGCTGATAATTTTTTCAGTGCTGATTGCTGGTGGTCAGCTTGTTGACGATCCTGGCATTCGTTTGCTTTTTGGTAGGACTGCCAACGTAAAGATTGCCCTGCTGGGGCCGATAGTCCCTGGAAATCAGGCACAAAAAAACCAGTTCAAAGATATGATGGCCGCCTAATGTGACTGAAAGTATTTTTGCATTCAAAGGCAGCATTTTCGAAATCCCTTTATTATCCCCAGGTCAACTCTTCCTACAAAAGACAGTTGAATATAGCCACGATTAGAGCAGATGTGCTGAGCGGCCAAGCAAAAAAGATCCAGAAAAACTTCCCCTCTAAAGATGGAACTACAAAAAACGAAAGTTATGCCAAACAGCAACACACTGGCAGAAGGACAAACAGCTCCAGCCACAGGAACAGTCGGAAGGTTGCTTGTCGAACGACAGAGTGAAGCTGCGCAGCGATGAGAGGAGTGCTGTTCGAAATAGGTAGAATTAAATAGCGAGTAAAGGAAAAGTAGCAAAGTGCAAGCTGCAGTTCTACTAACCTGATCAGATTCGGCTTCCTCGTCAGCATCGAAATCGATCTGTCGTCTTTTGTTCAGCTCGCGGTCCCGATTCTGCTTCCTTATTTCAATGCTTGTCTCTTCTCGCCGCTTTCGAAGAGCACCCACTGTTAGTCCTGAAAAATCAACGGTGAAAAAAACCTACTCATTTTTACTACACCTTATCCACTGCTAACCAAAAAAGGTATAATCTATTCATATGCAATTAGGTCAGATCAGTGAATTTCTGAACCGTTAAAGAGCGGGCTTCGATGCCCTGGAAGCGGTAGCCGTCAGAAAGATTACTGGCACCTTCCAAATTACACTCTAAAGACCGCAAGATGTTGGCAAACAACAGTCACCATACAACCTAAGGCATTCATTTCAATACGACAACCTCACTCCCCCCCCCCCTCCTTCCTGTCATAAACAAGCTTGTGTTAGTATCAGCAGCCCAGCTCCTCTCTCCCTCTCTCTCTCGCTCTTCCGTCCTTCTCTGCTTACTACAAAGAACAGATAAATTATGTGTTTACAGAACAGAGGAAACAAATTTGGCTAATACAAATTTCCAGAAAAACCGGAAAATCCCAAAACAGTGATGCCTTTATTTTTGTACTGCGCTTCTCGCGAGGAACCAGCACCATCAGACGAATGTGCATCCTTTGCGGGGTCTCCGGATGGTGATGCTTCATCACTTTCATCCATTGTTCACGAAACAGCGAGTCACTGAAAAACACTGATTTTTGTTACGATGAAAGAATGAGGAAGGAGGAGGGAGACTGCTGCAGTTCAGCAAAAGAGGCAAGCTACGAAAGCTTGCACCCCTGCACAATACAGTTCGCCAACTACATCAAATTTGCTTTGAGAAGGATAAGCAACGACTCGTACCACCCGCGCACACTTCGAACTGACACGCTCCGGCCACGTTTCCCCATTAAATACCCTGAAACAACCGCACCACCCGAGCCTTC